GAAAATAAGGAGCCCCTCCCCACGCCCCTCTGAGAGATATTTGGTTAAAAAGAACACAATGGTGCTCTAGGAGGAGATTCAGGTGATAAGGGGGGGGGGTGTTACACAATGGTTACACAAGCCAACAAATCGTTATGACATCATAAAGTGGCCTAAATCTGATCAGGTTTTTATAGAAATGGATCAGGACAAAAAGTGAGTGAATCTTTTTTCCTGAAAGTTTCAGAATCTCTTTCCACAGAGGGGACACATGGTGATGTATTAAAGACATGAACAAGTGGATTTTGCATAATAGGTGACCTTTAACACATTACAGTCCTTTAATTCAAATAATAGACATCAGACTTGGTGAAGATGTGCAGGACATGTAATTCCTCTTCCTTCCCGTCACAAACCGTTCTCACATCCCCTGAATACTGATGCCCCGCTGTCTTTTCCTCTCCCCACTTTCTTTCAGACGTCAACTCCTTCCAGCAAACCACAAAATGGATTGATGATGTGAGGACGGAGAGAGGAAGTGATGTCATTATCATGTTGGTGGGAAACAAGACAGACCTTGCAGACAAAAGGTAATCTGCTCTTCCTTCCTCCTGCCTCTGTAAGTGGCTCCTCTCCATTTAGAGCATACTAATGAAGTCATTGATCGGTGCTGCTGGCTGTCGACACTCAGGCAGAGCAGGTTATCTCTGCCCTTCGTGGATGTCAAAGCACCCCATTGACTTTTTTTACACTTTGTTTCAAACTACATTGTTTGAAGATATTGATTATTTAACAAATCAACCTCATAAAGAAATTGATAGTTGTCCGCTGTGATGTTTGATATTATTTGATCTGGAAGACCCTGTGCTGTGATCTTCTCAATCCACCTGATTAATGAAGTCAGCTGTACCATGTTTTCTCTGCATCTCCTAACCCCCTTTATCTACCGCAGGCAAGTATCTATTGAAGAGGGTGAGCGGAAAGCCAAAGAGCTAAATGTGATGTTTATTGAGACTAGTGCGAAAGCGGGCTACAACGTAAAGCAGGTGAGAGTGTGTGTGAGTCGTGCTCTGTACTCCTGATGCCCAAGCTGCTGCCTGCGCTCCACAACTAAAGATCGCCGGACCAAATCAAGGTCAGAGCTTCAGGCAGGGTTGGATTTTAAATCTAATATCTATAAAGAGTTATTCTGGATTTATTTAGCCGTCTTTTGGTCTAGATCCCAGGTGGCAGCAGCATCGGGAAGGGGCACGACTTGTTATTCCACTGCAACCTATTCACACTCTGTATTTTCTTTCCCCTTGTGTGTTTGTGTTGTTGTCTGTGGCGATATGTGTGTGTGTGTGTGTGTGTTGTGACTCATCGCAGACAGATAACCACAGAGGAGGGAGAGCAGAGAGCGAAAGAGATGAATGTTCTGTTTATTGAAACGAGTGCAAAGACAGGCTACAATGCCAAGCAGGTAGAGCGTGTGCACCTTCTCGTGTGTGTGGGCTCATAGTGCTCATTCTCTCTTCTGGTTGGCTTCTGTTTCACACACCCATGTGTGCATTAAGGTGTGCTTCAAATGTCGGCTTGCTCTGGTTGAAAGTGAGGTGTGTGGATTTGTTTTTGAAGCTCTCTCCCACCTGAAAGAAGTCATTATTTTTGATTGGCAAACCTTTGGTCGTGCAGGTGGGTCGGGGTCTGCAAACCAAAACGCTCATTAGCACATTAGCAGTATTTGAATTGCATGTGTATGAAGTGTAGTTCTATGTGATGTTCTTTAGTGCGGGGGTCCCTTTTTAAAACTCATAAATCACTTTAAATGTACGGAGCTCCATCAATGAATGTTAAAGTAAGGCACCAATCCACAGAAATATAGCCTTGCCGTTTGCTGCTAAATTACAAATCTAATTTGGTGAAAGCTCTGGTGGCCGTCTTCCTCTGTGCGAGCTTCAAGCTAAATCATGTAATGGGAATGCGCTATCTTTCCTTCATCTTGTGCGTTTGTCCTGATGTGAGTCTACTTCCTGCTCTGACAGAACACATCTGGTTGTCTCTCCTTGCAGCTCTTCCGTCGCGTGGCAGCCGCCCTCCCCGGCATGGACACCACACAGGACAAGAGCCGAGAGGAGAGTATCCTTTGTGTGCGTGTCAGTGTCAGAGGGTCTCTAATGTTGTGTCATATGGATAGCCCCTGCCAGAGGGAGAATGTAACTCAGCACTGTGACAGACAGATGTTGTTTGACCTTTGGGTCTCTTTTTGATTTATTTGACCAGTGAGGACACGTATTGTGCTCCAACAGAGAAATACTCACCACCTCTAGGCTGCAGTTAGGACTGTACCACATAGTTTGCTCAGCATCCTTTATAACATTGACTTCCGTTTATTCAATCTTCTTACCTGGTATCCCTGCACAGTTACAGATACAGACTAATATTAGTTGTCGATTTTGATTCTGGCACTGACTTCGTAGTATTGTTTCTTACTCGTGCGTTCCAAACATTTCCAATAACTCGAGCATTGTGAAGTCCAACGGTCAACATATTTGAAGATACCGATGTGACCATTTCCAAAGTTTACCCCAGGTTTTTAGGAAATAACCTGCTTTTCCATGAATTCCAAAAGTTATAATTATAAAGAAAATTGGTTAGTTTAGAAAAGAATAGCTATAGAAGCTTTCAATGTTAAAAAGATAAACTACCTTAATTATAGCCCTAACTCCCCGGTTAAATGTCACATGAGAGGAACATCAAACATGATTTATTTTCTCTAGAATGGAATCTGATTTGAAATGCAGTGTGGAATGTTCCCTAAAACTCAGCTCGCACAGTGGCTGTTTGGTTTGTATGGAAAACATATTTAACTTATTCAAGCCTGGCATGTCCTGCAGTAGAAAACAAATGATATAGCATTTTTATATATAACACATTTTAAACAATAACTTAAGCATGGACAGCAGTTGTGGAGTTTAGTTTATTCGTGAACATTTTCCAGTTGTTTTATTCCAGTTCTGTGACGTTCCCTAACTCCTAAACCCTTCAGTGATTGACATTAAACTAAAGGAGCAACCGGAGCTACCGGCCAGCGAAGGCGGCTGTTCCTGCTAATGCCGGCTTATGTCATAATGACATAAAGCTAAATATTTCTCTTACCTGCTTTTTTTTCAATAATTTGTGTGTCTGTACCCTAAACTGCACCGCCTGTTCCCCAGCCTAAGAGAGAACACTACAGCCGTTACTCTGTGGAAAGCTGTTTTGGATGTGGATGCTCTGAAAGTCATACATCTCTTACATTGAATATTTGCACTGTAACACACATGTTGAAACGGTATCCACAGCTGTTGCCTGTCATTTCAAACAGACCGAGATGGGGGGCTTAAGAGTAATGAGTGTCTAAAGATGACCTTTTGAACCAAACTGAAAGAAGGAACACGTGTGTTTATGCATTAAAGTATCTGATCAAGATTGAGAATATTGTTCAACATTTTTAAATATTGCTTTAAGTTTAATAAGCACAACAATAACACTGTTCTTTTTGTTGTTTCAATGTCTGGACACGGTCACACACCAGCACAAACACACTAACTCTAAGAGCAACACTATAACTACGTCATCCCCATTACCGTCCTTCCTCTCTTCCCACACTTGTCCCTTGAGATTGGTTATTTTTACCCTGGCTTCCATTTTATATTACCTTTTTATTTGAATAGATCTCTAATTATTTTTTCTAAAGACTACAGCTATCATAGATTAAAACTACTGCTTTAAAGATAGTGCTTGAGAAGTGTTTTCTCATATATTATAAGAGTCATAATCATGAAAACCCACTGTAAACATTTAGATATATATGCCTTTTGGAGTTTAATTGTAGAGGGCTTCCTTGGTTTTTGGGTTAAACTAGTTTGGTATGAGGTTTTATGAACACTTTAAATACTTGTTTTTTTGTTTTATTCTGTTGGCATTGATCTTTTGTTAATGATTATTCTACATGTGTATTTAATCCACAATGACTTTATTTATTTGTATTGGATTCATGTTTCTTTTTTTTATGGCTGTTAATATCTACACTTCTGGTGAATCACTAATGAATTATGTATCCGTCTGAAACACCTTGTGAAAATCAGCAGAGAGCTAGATGGCAATTTGATCTTACTGATAATACAGTGCAATTGTTGTGTGGACTTATGGAGGAGAGTCTGGTATGTATAGCAAAGTAGTCCTTAACGTTTGTGTCTGGAATGATTTTAAATGAAAGAATAAAAAATACACTTGTCAATGTGGCTGGAATTTTTCAATGTCCAAGCTTTAATATTTTCCTTGAACCATTTGTTACACTTGAATTAGGCATTAAGCTGGTAATTAAAATAGTAATAATACAATATATTGTTCTCCCTACTCGAATGCCCCACACATATCACAAATATTTAAAGGAAAAGAAAAAAATTGCACAGACAAAACGAACACTATGCATTTTAATAGTAGGCTACCTTTATTATACAACTGATAACGTGCCAATGACGGTTTTGTGCCATGAAATAATTGTGGCTGTGATAATGTTTGAACCTGATCTGACAGCTCTAAATCTAAATTACAAATCAAAGATAAAAGAGTATTGTTGATCTGCAGATCGTCAGCAGTGGCAGCAAAGTGTTAAGCGCAGGAACAGAACAGCAGAGTCTGTTATTAAGAGCAAGGCCTGAACAGTGTTGCTCCCTCATGAGAACTGAAGGCCTGACAGTAATAAGCTGTCCTGCAGGAGCAGAATGCTGGACCTGGACTAATTGGCACTAATAGGCTTATTTCACAGGAGACATTTTGACCTGGCAGGAAAAGCCCATGTGGCTACGACTCCAAAGTATGCCATGCCACTGAGCCAGCATTATCAACAACATATTAACTTAATAACTGCTCCATCAAACACAATGCTGCTGTTTTTCATGCCTAAATGTGTGGTTTGACAAACGTAATCATGGGGAGGCTATTTCATTTAGGGATGTATGAGGCCATATATAGCCACCTGTTGTTCCCTATTGCAAAGCATGCTATATTGGGCCCCAACTTTAGTTTCACATAATCTGATAAACTACCAATTTCAATTAGAATTAGGAAAATTAAACTTAAATATGAAGTATTTTTGCCTCAATGTCTTGTGGCCCTGTGTTTTGGAGGGATCCTGTGTCAAAGTGGTAGTAGTAAGGCTGACATTTTCCAGAATAAAATTAATGTTACTGTCTGTAATTGGGTGAATTATACCCCTATGAAATCCAAAATTAGATTAATCCTGATCATTGGTCATCACAAAACAAATGAAAGGAATTAAATCAAATAAAATGTATTTGTATAGCCGTTTTAATAGCTTAAGCTTACAGGCAACTGAGACGCTGAAAATAATAACTATAGGCTACTTCTGTTTTACAACATCCTACGAAAAGACACCAAATTAGAATTTTATGATGCTTTTTCTTACATGAACACATTCAAATGTTGTCCGTTTCTCAGATTGAACAACGTGTGCAGCGGATCCTTGTTCGTGATTGGCTGAGCCGTTTTTGCAAGTCACGCGAGAGTTTACCGGGAATCTGTTACCCTGGAAACCAAGCGTAACAACCGCTGCACTGAGTATTTATTATATCAAACCTTTGTTTTTTAACACCAACGCTGCATATTGAGCTGTCCTTTGATTATTTTAGACTTAATTTAAAGTATTGAATTCCATAATGGGTAGCGAATACTACGAGACTCTGGAAATAAACAGAAATGCAACAGATGCAGATATAAAGAAGGCGTACGTGTTTGTTTCCGGAAGTTGCTTTACAGACGTTAACAATTTAAGTTGTATGTGTTTATTGTCAACGTTTTGCTTTTTTTATTACTAGATTTCGAGGACTGGCATTGAAGTTTCATCCGAGCAGAAACAGAGAAAAAGGAAGCAGTGAGACGTTCCTTCAGCTGGGTGAAGCCTACGATGTGCTGAGCGACCGTAAGTAAAGTTGAAATATAAACCAACACATTTATGGTATGTTGGTTACACTACAGACTGAGACTACACTAAAAATTAAGAAAAAAAAGGTGAATATATCTGGTGTATAATATTCTATCTTTACTTTTAGGCTATATAGTGTGGTTCTAACAATGTCACTTCACACTTTAATATTCCTACTGGTTATACTTCAACACTTATTGTCAAGAAATACCAATTTGAATCATTTTACAGATTTTTTATTGTGTAAAATATTCAATAGCTTCACTTTTGTAATGCTACACAAATCCCTATAATTAAGTGCTTTTGAAAACCTTTTATAAAGTTACCATATTTTAACCAATATGTGCTGCAGTGTGTGTCTATGAAAATAAAGATGTTGTCTGTGACAGCTCGGAAAAAGGCAACCTATGACAAGTTTGGTGAGGAGGGTCTCAAAGGGGGCATCCCACCTGAGTTTGGCTGCAGCGGGGCTTGGTCATCTAAATATGCCTACCATGGGAACCCAGGCAAAACCTTCAAGGAGTTTTTTGGAGGCGACAACCCATTTGCAGGTGCGAAAATCAGACCATATGGTGAATGTTCTTATTCAAATATCATATCAATTACATTACACTTCTTTCGTTAGACTTCTTTACAAACGATGAACCACTTCAGTTTGGCGGCCTGCGATCAGTAGCGTTGAAGACACAAGACTCTCACATCGAGAGAGACATGCATCTGTCCCTGGATGACCTCTACCACGGCTGCACAAAAAAGATAAAGATATCTCGCAGGGTAAGAGCTTCTGTGCGTGAGAGACTATCTATTGTCATTCCACAGCTATTTCAAATATAAATGAATGTTCTATTCATTTGTTTAACAGGTTATGAATGAAGATGGATGCACTTCCAGTATCAAAGACAAGATCCTGACTATTGATGTGAGGCCTGGATGGAAAGAAGGCATGAGGATCATTTTTGCTAAAGAAGGAGATCAGGTAATATAACAATACACGCATTGACACGAATACAGTTGTAATGATGGTCACTGAAAAGCCATTCAGTATGTCTTTTCCTTATTCAAATGTTTTTTCACAATACGTGTTTCGATCATGTGTTTGCTTGTGACCGGTCAACGCTGATTTACGAGGTATTGCAACTTCATTACATAGCTTTTGCTGTGCGGCAGGCTTTAGAGGAAAGCCCTGCAAGTGACCACTGCGCCAACATGTATCATTTTATATGAAAAATAAATAACGTGTACGCAAATCTGAGAAAAAGGGTTTCGTTTGGGGAGGGGGTTTCATCAGGGTCTCACACATTTTTGCAGTAACCTTATTGGTGCCACTTTAGTGAAACTGTGTATTTGAATATGATACGAATAAAGAATAGTGAGATAAGTATGTGTTTGTAACTTATTGGGATATATAGATCAAACATAAAAGCATTATTCGTTTGCTTTGTAGTGAATGTATTCTTCTAGAAAGTTTGGATGCTTATTGACATGTTTGATGAATATGTGTTTAAGATGATACTGATGAATGGAAACTTGCTCAAGCTGTTGACCACAGAATGCGTGACTGACAGCTTTGAATCATGGGAAGTTAACAGTGGCAGTTATGGTTAAATATGAATGGGCAAGATTTAGAGTGCATAATAACTCAGTTGTGGGGTTATGATATCCACTAGATCTGTTTCATTGCCGCCAGTAGGTGGCGTCATTGATCTCTTTGCATATATGAATAAAAGCCACATAATACAGGGACTCATTCTTGCTCTTACGCTGCCTTACCTTTTCTGTTTTGCTAGATATGATTTGATTACATTTGGTCCAAATAAATTATGTGTAAAAATCTTTTGTGTAACAGATAGTAACTGTATTTTAGGGAAAGAGCCTGATATGCATGGTAATCAGTTTGCTGTATTTTACCCTTAGGGACCAAACAGCATCCCTGCTGATATCGTGTTCATAGTGCGACAGAAGAGCCATCTTCTGTTTGTGAGACAACACAATGACCTCATCTACAAGGCCCAGATCACCCTGGAGATGGTGAGTCATGTAAATAATCATTTTCAGCATGAGTCATACTTAAGATCAAGTCAAATAAACACTGGACCTTTTCCCACAGGCCTTAACTGGGTTCTCTGTGGATGTGGAGACTCTAGACAGCAGGCTAATTACTATTCCCATCAATGACATTGTACAGTAAGTAGCACTAAATAACATTCATCAGTCTGTATTTTGTTACCATATTGATGGCTGAATGAATGAAAACAGGGAAGATGATTGTAAGAAATTCAAGCACTTTATATAAACTCAAACAGAGAGGTTTTTGAAGGATATGTGGTTTGTGCGTCATGTGCATAAATAACCATCTTCCTTTCTCTGATTTTATTTCATACACATCAGCCCTTCGTACAACAAAGTGGTGAGTGGAGAGGGAATGCCTCGGTCCCAGGATCCTTCTCAGAGAGGGAACCTCATCATTACTTTTGAAATCCAGTTTCCTGAGAAGCTCTCCGCCGAGAGGAAGCACCTGATCAGACGAGCTCTAACTTTGAAAGACTGATCCTATTCTAGTACATGTGTTGCTATGCTGTGTCTGATAAAAGTGGTCATAAGAGAGAGAAGTATCAAGTATAAGTATCATCATTTGTACAACACTTCAGGTTGAAATATGCACTTGGAGGCAACAAAAAGTAAAAAACCGTGTAGACAACACAGCTGTGCAATAACATCTGACAGACAATAACGGTTACACTCGAGTGGTGTAGTTGTGATTCGCTGCCATCATGGCTCGCTTCAGCTGCTCGTACGTCACAAACATCACCACGTTCCAGGAGCCAAGGCGTAAGAAAGATGGCATGAACCTCAAGAGAAAAAATAAAAACAACATTATTGATTGCAATAAGAATAGCTGTTCAGTTAACAACCACTTTTCTTTCCTCCTTCCTTCATAAACGCTTGATTTAGATCCTCATTAATCCTCTCAATATTGACCTCGCAGTCAGAGCATACCCCTTGTAAAAAGCACGTGGTCCCTCTTTGCTCATCATGGCAGCAGCACACTTGAGGACGCTGTGGTAGTGGCCGGGTGGAGAGTTCATATATCTTGTTTTGACCACATCAACTGGAGAGGCAATCACTGTTGTGCACAGTCCTGCTCCGAAGGCCGATACAAAGTGGCAGGGCAGATTATCTGAGGAGAAGAGAAGACTGAACGTTACCTCTCCATACAGAAGAACAATGGAGCATTATGTTGTACGTCAGGATGTACTGCAGTCTTTGTTTAACCTGTGAGCGGAGTGGACTTAAGGAGTGTGTCCTTGATGTAATCGTACGTCACCAGTTCAGTGCAGTTCACAATTGCATTTCGAGCAATGTTTGGAGCTGTACCTGTGTGAGAGAATAGAAAAGATTTATCGTCAGAGACAAAAGGTCATGGTTTAAAATGATCTTTTTAAAAAAGGCACAATGCTAATAGGGGTCTCATGATTTAAAAAAAAAAGGTGTCAATGACGTTGTGAAGTAGTGTGGGATCATTGATAGTCGTTTTACAAATTGACTTCATTGCAATCAGTTAGAATTCTTTCATTGTTCATTGTCAAGGAGTTTTTTTTAAATCAGGAGACACATTTACCTTAGAGGTTTCCTTAGCTCCAAAACAAAAGGACCCGATGATTGAATCAGTAATATACACTGAATACAAGTCTCACCTTAAAAATCACTGTTTCCTCCACTAAGCTCATCAGATTTAGGAGGTTCTGCGACCCAACCGTTAACCTTTGCTCAGGTTGTTTTTCTGATAACTAACTCAAATCCTTCAAAATAGTAGGAATGATCAGGATTTTTTTTTAAAAGCACCTTAAATTTCAGGCTTTAAACCGAAAAAAAGTCAAAATATAAACAGATGCTGGCAGAGATGGAGTAGTAGCCAATGCAGAGAATGAGAATAAAGTGTGCTGTTACTTTAAATATTTAAAAATAATAATTCAAGGTCATAAAAGAACACATCTAAAAAAAAAAAAAATAGGTAACACAAGTCTAGTCCTTTTTGTACAATTCGATGCAGATTTCTTACATCTTTTATCTGTAAATTCAAGCTACTGTACCTTTCCACAGACCACGAATACCTTCTTCCTTAGCAATGGTCTTGTAAGCATCAATGGTGCCACAGTAGCGCCTGGCCTGCCCAGCAGACCTGGCCTGAGCCTGGAAGCGAACCTTCACCACATCTGTAGGCTGAGCTAAAGCAACTGCCATGGCACCAGTGGTACATCCTGCCAGCAGCCGACTGCCGATACCCACATCTGGAGCAGAGGGGAGATAGGGGTCAGGCCTGATTGTTGCAGGAATTTATTAACTAGATAAATATGTTCATAGATACTCACGATCAGAGCCTTTAGTGTAGAACTGTTTAACAGAGTCGTAGAGACCAATGCGGACAGAGGCAAAGCTCATCTGCCTCTGGAGTCCTGCCACCAGTCCACTGTAAAGGCTCCGGGGCCCCTCTGTACGCACCATGGTGGTGATGGTGCCAAACACCCCCCGATACCTCACTGCAGACTCCTTCCCTGCTGAGGCCTCCCCTTGTATCTGTGAGGGATAAACAGTACCGAGAGGTGAGATTAAGAAGAAACAATAAGGGACTTTTACACAATATTTGCAAACTCACACGCATTATGAGAATTTCACGTGTTGATGGGAAGAAAAGAAGCTTACCTGCAGCCGCACTTTGGCTGTGTCCAGAGGGAAGGTGAGCAGGTCAGCGAAGCATCCTGCAGTTCCTGCTCCCACAAACTTCACAGCTGCCGATGGAGGCACATCTGCAGGTCCAAATCCAACCATTTTCCAGAATGATTGCAATCAATATGAAGAGGGACCTACTGTATTAATGCTGATAGGACAAGGATAAGAGAAACACATTCCATTTAAATGATTATTTAGTGAAGGAATGCCCACAGCTGGCTTGTTACAGCTCCATTAAGCAAAACAATAGCTAAAGTTGAGCAGTTGTTGATGTTAAAAGGAAAGAAAGCTGTTCAGTACATTATGTGCAGACAACATGCTGACCTCACATGAGCTAAAAATATAGTACACCTAATTTTCCACTCTCAATTTGGATGTGTCTTACCTTTAATGGAGCTGTCTGGACATTAGAGATCAGGATTCTCTAAAGGTGTCCCTCTGGCTGAACGTTGTCCCAGCTTTAAATAGGTTTCCTTGTTTTTCCATAGAAGGTTTTTCAGAAGTGTTGAGCCTTAAAATCATACTCCAAATCCTGGATTGAACACAAATGAGGTAAAATAGAAAACAAAAGCAGGGGGAACAGTATTAAGAACAACATATTTGGTCAGGAAATATATTTTACCTTGATTTGAATTGAGAAAGTTGGAATCCCTGGTGAAATCCCTGGTAAAATGCCTCTCCAAGTGACAATAGCAAAATGAAACCGTGAAACAAGCAGTAGTGTGCACACAAGAGCCGCCCCCTTAAATACTGCCTTGTTCCTGTTACATCATGACATGTGTTTTTCCCAAGGCCCCACCCCCAGCACATCTACTTTATAGGAGCTGCCTGCTGGTCAAATGGATGGAGGACTATAAACCTGCCTGAGTGACAAACAGCCTGAGGGTGTTTTTGTCTTAAAGTGTATATGTTAATACCTATTTTTATTTATTCCTCCCATTTTGTGTCCACATACTAGCAACAACACAACAATAATAAAAAAAGCAAAGTTGGAATTGATTGGACGACCTCAATATGTTGAGAATATTTTTGCCAAAATAAAATGTTGCTGTCACGATCTGTCTGTGTTGTGTTTTGTCTTGTTTAGATCTGTCTTTGATTTCCTGTGTGTGTGTGTTCCCTCCTACCTGTTTACTTGATTGTGTTCACCTGTTGCCCCTGTGTTTTCTCCTCCCTCCTCACCTGTCTCTTGTTTCGTTGATTAGTCTTGTGTGTATTTAAGTTCTGTTTTTGCTGTCTGTCATTGTCGGTTCGTCGTTTGTCTGTGACTGTGTTCACCGGGGAGTGTCCACAGTTGCATTGGAAAATGGATAGACCTACTAGAATTCAAGATAAGTCAGTTATCTGTGTGAAGGCCTGCACATCATAGTACAGAGAGCACAGAGAGAGGGTAAAAGCTGAGTCATGCTGAAAACACAAGAACACACAGAACAACAAATTGGATCCTTATGTTGAGACCATTTAACATCCAACCACAGCTTCTTCTGTTTAAAACGTGATCCGTGACCAGTGGTTCCTGCAATGATTGACGATTGAAAACTACTTCTAATGTACAGTGATCAAAATACAGTGTTATGTTTATCGAAGTGTTTTTATTAATCCACATCTAACAGGGCTCTGTAAAGCAATACAACACTCTGTTATTAGTTAAAAGGTAGTTGACATTTTAAAAGAAAATTGTCATAATAAATGGACTGCAAATGGAAATGCTATGAATGTTTTTCCATTGATAAGAAACACAAGATATGAATTACTGAAAATAAACATTCTTAGGCTAAGCGTCAACCATTTTATCTGACAATATGTTAATATAATACATTTGAAATATCTTTGATTGCAGGCCAATAGGCCAAAACACTGAGTCTATGTATTTCTTAATGTATTTTAGCCATTCAAAGTACCATCGACATTTCTTATTCTTATTCTTATTTTTTCTTTTTACATCTAAAAAGTAATTATTCGTCATTTCATTCACAATTTTCAGGTGATTCATGTTCAATCGCGCCTTCATGATTGAAATCTTGATTTGTTCTCTTGGAGCTATAATCAAAATTCTACAATAAACCTTTTTTGTGATAGTTACAGCCAGTTTTACCTTTGACGTTTGATGTTACGACTACTGTTTGGTTCCTTCACATCATTTCTAGTAATTGAACGTCACATGTATTGTTTAATATTGGTGTGTGTGGGTACATGTTGTACTATCATACCTCTATCTGAATGTCAGAATAAAATTGTATTAGATTTGCTTGAAAAACAAAAAAAATGCTACCTGCTGTCTTTCCCAAATCAGAAAAAAAAACGTCATTATGAATAAAGTATTGTAATGGTGGATAAACTGGATTCCCCATCTTTACTCAATCCTGATTTGACAAATGGTGAATATAATCGTTTTTTTACAACAAGGAAACGTACATACTATTCCACTTAAATCTTTGATCTATGATATTTTTCTTTTTAAATTGCAATTTTAAACTGTATATTCCAGGGTAGTTGGATGTGAGACAACAAACAAAAATGCAATAATAGACAATTCAAAGAAAGTCACTTAATTTATAATTTCACAATCACATTTATGACTTATCGACCAGCAATAAATCATGCTATTTACAGCAAGCCGCACATTGAATTACCCTATATATAAACTCCTGACCACATCCACAAACTATGGTAAACATTGTAAACCATGAAACAGAATGAAACGTACGGAGAAAAACATAGAAATGGTCACTGTTAAGGTCTGTGTTGTGAGACTCAATCTGTCTATTGCTCATGAAGAATGACTTTAAATAACACATGAAATGCCTTAAAGTTGTCTATATAATCTCATAGTATTTGTAAACACAGGAATTAATCTTTAAAGCTTCGTTACAGACAGCCTATCAAGGTTATATGGATAACACATACAGGAACCTTCTGGAATTACTGCTTCACTAGCCTCTTTTACACCTGAATACGCATTTTTGTAATGGAGGCGCACACCATTACAATGCATTAAATGTCTCTTTTTTGTATTGTATTGCAACAATGCCCACTAACTATGTGTTCATTTAGGAAGTTGAAGAGCTACAGCTTCCTGCCATATACCCTGATCACATCCTTCTCTCTTCCCGCATAACCACTGCTCCATCGCGGTGTAAGACGTTCTGTGCAGTTCTGTGTGTGAATAACCAGTCTGACAAGCTGAGGTCACAACGGCGTCTCCCAGTACTGCTGTGCCCTGGTCATATGTCTTTTGATTTGTTCATACGTCACAAACATCACAATATTCCACGACCCCAGTCGCAGGAAAGAAGGCATGAACCTAAAGGACGAAAAAAGGAAAGCAAAGTAAAGAAATGTCCCCATAACAGGCTGCATTATTGTTGTTTGGCTGTCTGTTAGCATGTGCTTACCCTTTATAGAAGGCTGAGGGTCCTTCATTTCTCACCATGATGATAGCACAGTTGATGGCGCTCCTGTACTTGCCATCTGTTGAGTTCATGAACCTTGTTTTGACTACATCCACAGGAGAAGCCACTACTGTTGTGCAGAAGCCTGCCCCAAAGGCAGCAGTGAAGTGGCACGGCAGGTTGTCTGTAGGAGGACAGAGACTGAGTCACATCGTTCCACAATATATATTACTTTGATGTAAAAGACATTAGCTTATCATCTCCAGTGTCTGCAATAACCCACTCACCTGTCATTAGATCGTACTTCAGGATGAGTTCTTTGATCAGGTCATAGGTCACCAGCTCCGCACAGTTTACAATGGCATTACGGGTGATGTTAGGCATACAACCTAAGAGAAAGGAGAGGGTGGTTACTTCAAAACCAGGGGAGGGATTTTTTATAATAAAAACTAGATATTATGGGTCAATTGATCTGGATAGATATATCGATTCAATGATCAGCGATTCAATACCATTATTGCCAAGTAAAAATACCAATACATATAATTTAATCATTTTTATTGAAATGTCTGAAAGAGCCTGGTAATAGATCTGATTACATCAATGTAAGTCAATTATAACTTTGACGTTTATCTATCAAGGGCCCCATCAATTTAATCAAATCAAAAATCTTTGTGATATCAGCAACTATTTTAAAGTCTTTAAAGACTCAATGTATCAATCAAACTAGTGATACACCCCCAATAGATGAGTGAGTGAAATAAATGAATTTCTTTGGAACTCAAAAACAAGGCTGACTGCCGTGCCTTAGGTTCTTTAGAAAAACTCATTCAAACCACTTCATACTTCACACTGCACTTCCTCAGCAAGTGTGAAGTAGTTGGGATGAACGGTTGTCAATCATAATAGCTAAAGTAGATAGAGACCCCCAGCAAAAGTTAGATATTTGAAGTAACATTGCAAGCACCTTTCCAAAGGCCTCGTACTCCCTCGTCTCGGGCTATCGTCCTGTAGGCGTCCAGCGTGCTGTTGTATCTCCTCCCACCGCCAGGTAGTCGTACCTGGGCTTGGAAACGCACCTTCACCACATCTGTTGGCTGTGCAAAAGCCACGGCCATGGCTCCTGTGGTACAGCCCGCCATGAGACGAACAACAATCCCAGCACCTGTGCAGCATGAGTGTGTCAGTCATGTAGCACTGAGGAGTGAAACCATCTCGTTTGAATGACACAATAATGTTATGCAACTCACTCTCAGTGCCCCGAGTGTAGAATTGCTTCATGGAGTCGTACAGGCCAATTCGAACAGAGGCAAAGCTCATCTGCCTCTGGAGTCCTGCCACCAGCCCATTGTAAAGACTCCTGGCCCCCTCTGTGCGCACCATGGTGGTGATGGTGCCATACACCCCCCGATATTTCACTGCACCTTCACCTTTAATAGACTCTCCCTGAATCTGGGCAACAGGATGAAACGCAAGGATTGTTAGACGCAGTTAAGATATTTTTAGAACAAAATCTGTAGTTAAAATGTGTCCAGCCTCCTGCTCCTAACCTGAAGTCTGACTTTGGCAGTATCTAATGGAAAGGTGATGAGGTCAGCAATGCAGGCTGCCGTGCCTGCTCCGAAGAACTTAACTGGCCCAGAGGGCACTGCGTCTTTGGGTTTGATGCCAACCATTTCTAGATACGATGACACAAATGGAAAAAATATCACACCACACACACACACCAAGGAAAGTCCATCTGAGGACACAGCAGGCTATAACTTATTTTCCATGCTTAACATTGTTCATACCTGTAAGCACAGGTGAAAGAAATGTTCAGGTTTTCTCGAGAAGTACGCAAGTGTTTTGAAGCGGTTCTGCTGTGGAAATGCCTCGGGCCATAAACTCAGTTTGAAGTGTCAGCCAGCATACCACCACGTACTGCAAATACAGGCACGTATCAATCATTTGTCTTGTAAAGGACAATTTGTATTGCCATTACATACAAGTCAGTCATTAATGAATGAGTGATACATATGTTCAGAGGTAAAAAAGGTATCAAAAATATTTATTTTTCATTTGGGTTAGTTGTTTATCTAATACTTAAATATCAAGTGACTTCAGTTGAGTCTGAATTTATAAAAAGGTGCATGCTTTTTAAAAAAAAAAAAACACTGTTATCTTCATGTAAAGGTTTACCTAATTAGTTTTCTCGGAAAGTTATAGTCCAGCACAGAGGTAGGAATAAACAATCCTTCAGGCGGTTAGTCCCCTCTGTGTCCTTGTCTCATTCTGTTTGCTTTCTGTTGAAGCTGCTGAATTTATAGACACCTTATGCACATGACTGCTGGGCAGCGTGACAAGACTGTACACACCTGTTATGTATATCTCATGTTTACCAGTCTGTGACACACAGCCGGATATTTGAGCACTTGTTGATCCAGCCCTGACAGTGTCATTATGGAAGCCTGGCAGGGACTCATGTGATCAGTGCATAGGAACGTTGAAAAGATACTTTTACAGTAAAACATTCTGGCTGTTACATGAATATATTTAAGTTTTCAACCCAATACTTGAGGTTTAACATTTCACACCTTACCATGTGAGGATGCCAGCTCATGTTACTACACTGACATCAATGAGCTTACCATGTCTTTCTATTGGTTCATATGCGGCCAAT